TCTCTGAATTCATCCAAGGGAGCTGAAAGGGTGCTTAGAGTTTCTGAGCATTTAAAATAAAATACTTGTACTATTAGTAGGGTTGAAAATTTAAGTAGTTTCCTTTTTTCTCAAGGCTTCTGCCATAAAAGTTGTGTGATTTCTTTTAGAATTAGGAGTTTGTTGGTTTCTTCTGACTCTAATCAGTCTTGTGCATGGTGGAAAAAGGTGTAAAGGATAATGTGTAAATATTATTGAAAAAAAACACACAGACATGACAGTCATTTCTGTAGGCTAGTGGTTTAAATATATTTACATTGTGTCTGTGTCAGGGAGCTGCAGCGGTGTTCATGAATTTGGGGCAAGTCAGAAGAGAACAAAAATGCAACTGCATGGAATTAAAATTGCACCAGAAGTTTGAGAAAGGAGATAAGTAATTGTTTTCAAATCGTGACAGGACTGCAGACTGAGCACTCTTTCCTTTAGGAAAATTCTGATTAGTGGGGGCTATAAATCAGCTTTCTATTTCAGAGGGAGGGAGGCAGCTCCACGAGTGCCTGTAGCCAGTCTGGGTGAGTGGCAGAGCAGTGGGCTGGGAGAGCAGCTCCTCTGGGGCTGTAAATTGGAGTCAGTGGGGCTCTGACAGCTCTCAGTGCTGCAGGCTGGGCCACCTCAGAGAGTGCTGAGCTCACCTCCTGAATCTCCCAAGTAGTCCTTGGAGGATCCTTAGGGCTGCTGCAGTCTGCTTCTGCTTACCCTGCAGGATGTGACAAGGATCACAGCCCAAGGTGGGAAGTTGGCTGGCATAAATAACATTGTCTGTAACCCCAGTTTCCTGAGTCAGCACTTTGGGTGTGAATAGTTTACAGGGAGAGAGAGGACTCCTCAATGAGAGGACAGTGCTTTATCAAGGGACTGCTGGGGTCTGGAAGAGGTGGGAGGTGTAAGGGGCTGGGGACCACTCAGCAGGATAGGTGTCCCCTTATGGTGCTGGAGGAGTCAGAAGATTCTGGAATTCCTATTTCTCACAGCTTCCTGGTATTTATGAATCTCTTTCTATGGATCTGAATTTTGGGCAGATCCATCTGAGGCTGGGACCTTGGAACATCCAGCAAACAACTGGAGCATCATTTATTTTTTCCCTTCATATACTAAAAATGGTGCTGTATTTTGTGCTCACCCGTGCCAGGGCACATCTCTTAAAAAATCATTTCTGGGAAGGAATGTGCATGATGGAAAGCCTTGCAGGATGTCTCTAGAGCACATCTGTACCTGAACACATTCCCACTGCCTGGGAGCTGAGAGCTGTGCAACCACAGCAGCAGGGTTAAATCCCTGTTTGTATTGTGTGTTCACCCCTGCCAGGACACATCTCTTAAAAAATCATTTTTGGGAAGGAATGTCCATGATGGAAAGCCTTGCAGGATGTCTCTAGAGCACATTGCCATGGCAGAGCTGCCCTGCCTGGGAGCTGAGAGGGTTCAATCCCTGCAGCTCCAGCTGGGCTCTGGTGCAGGCAGTTCACTGGCAATTAGTGCCCTTTGCAGTGTTTGGCCTCCTCTCTTCTGAAATAATTGCTGTTATCATAGATGTTTTATTGCCTACATTATGGTTAACATTTAAATATCAATGAAATAGTATTCTACTAAGTTATCTGTGCAGTAGCTGTCTGCTAGAGTTATCCCTGAAATTTGTGTGTAAAGAGAATATTAATTCAGTGCTGATTTAGGATTCTTGGAAGGAAGGTTGTATATTTGTCAATGAACTATGAGGAACCTTTGCTTATTTGAAAATAAGCAAGTATTTGAAACCCTTGCAAAACCTGAGCCACTCTCATTTGGTATCTTGTGAGCAGAAATGCTGTGTGATTGGAATAATGCTTAGTCTGTTGAACAGAAATATTTTAAGAACCTGTAAAATATTTTTGAATCATCAAGTCATAACAGGTGACCTTTGTGCATGCAGATGAATTGCACTGAGGGACAGGGATGTGTTCTCTGTGCAGAAGGAAGCTCACTGTCACAGCCTGCTCTGTCTGAATCCAATCCACATCCTTTAGAAATCAATAGAAAAATCTCTCTTGAATTCCTATGGCCCCCATTGACTCCTGTAGTGCCATATGTGACTGATTCAGGCATCAGCTACGTCTGTGATTTAATGTTTGTGAGCTGACTTCACATGTGGCTTTTATTTATCACTGCATACCTAAAATCTTCCATCCCAGTGCATTACTCATTTTAAAGTAACAAGCAGCAAAAGCTCAGGTTTGTCTCAGAACTATATTTTTATGTATACAGAGAAAAAAAATGGTGATGCAATTATAAATTCCATTTCTGAGCCCTGTTTGAACTTCCCAACATGTAAAGAGCAAACACATACAGCTACTGAAGGGTGGGTGTGTTGATGTATTTATTCATGCACTCTCAGTGGGTTTGTTCCCTTTCTGAAATTGTTGTTCAGGCTTGTTTTTGGCTCATTGACCACAAAAGACTTCGGTTCCATCACTGGGTAAACAAGGTAATGGAGCACTAGCATTGTGTGACAGAGAGGTTCATTTTGCCCCAGTGGGGTGTGAGTTGTCCCTGTGACCTCAGCAGGGACTGAGGCAGGGCTTGCAGCCCTAACCCTGCTGCTCAGGGTGCACAGCAGAGCCCTGCAGGCACAGCTGGCAGCTCCAATGCTGACTCCCAGCTCTCCTGCTGGAGCTGACAGTGTTTCCCTCTTCATCTTGCCCTTTACATTTTTAGTAGGCTGCCTTTGAATCCTCGGGCATCGAGAGCCCGAATCCACAAACCCAGTGGTTTGTACACCCAATACTTGGCTGTGTGTTCCTTGTCCAATTTTTAATATCTCTGAGTTTTCCAGAGGATCTGGAATGAATACTACATGTTATACTCTAAGTTATCATGTGCTAAGACTGACAGCTCTTATCAGCCTGGTGTGTGAACGTGTGTGACTTGACTGATACAGATCTCTGGCAGCCAATTTCCAAAACTCTGCTTTTACTGACATAACTCTGCTCTCAGATTTGGAAAGAAAGGGTAACTTTGCTCTGTTGGTGCAGTTTGCTGTCATGGCAATGTCATCCCCCAAGCTGGCTCCAGAGTGCCAGTGCATCCATCTGGTGCAGCACTGTGCTGGAATAGCAGCTCTGGAGACTGCTTGGGTGCTGTCCTGCCAGCATGCAGCACAGCAGCAGCAGCAGAACAAGCTGCCAGTGTCAGAGCTGCTCCCACCCTGCTCCTGAGTGTGCCTGTGCAGGGCCAGGGTACCCTGCAACCTCCTGGCCTTGCCAATGTGTGTGTGTGTGTCTTCCTGTGTACCCAAAACCCAGCCTTAATAGGGTAAAATCTAATTAGCTGTAATCTGCTGATGTTTTAGATGATGGCTCTGCCAAGGGATTTCTAGGCAGAATTGTAAAAATGGTTTTTGAATTGGCAGATGACCAAGAAAGAGAGTTAACTCCTGGAAGACTTTTCTAGAGCTTTTGATTAAATGTCCTACACAAATAGATGACATTGGAATAGCTGAGTAGTTCAGGGAAGGATAAGGTGCTGTTCCTGCTTCAGCAGGCATGTATTGAGGTATTCTTCAGCACATCCACAAGCACACAAAAGCACTGTATGCTGCCAGAGTGGCCCTGTGGAATTCTGTCCCCTTTGTAGAAAGCAGAGTTTGCTCCCTGCCCTGCTGCATGTCCAAACAGGCAGGGGCAGGACTGGCCATGCTGGGACACTGAGTGACACCAGCCCTGTCTATTCTCATGACAAACTGTATTTGCAGATCTGGTGCTCTTGCAGCATGGCAATTATGCCCTGTTGAAGTGCTTTCCATTTCCTGTGCTATCTTGATAAACTTTATAGCTTCTAATTTGCTGGAGAGTCATTGATATAATTAGGAGCTACACAAATGGGAGCAGCACACTCAGCTGATGGTAATCTCAGTTCATCCTTCCTGAGAAGCTCTAAGGGGGTCCCTCCAGCAGCCCAGATTTTCTCTTTAGGCTCAGCTTTGACAGAGCAGCAGCAATCCCTCTGTGCCTGGGTCAGGGCATGCTTTATTACACGCTGCTCCACTCCCCATCTATTTTTCCCTGAGGAAGGGGAGGATTGGGAGCCCATCCATCCTTGTGTTTCTGAGGAGCAATGGGAGCTGTCTGCCCATGGCAGCAGGCTGTGCTAACAAGGCTGGCAGAGCCAACAGCTCTCTTTTGGTTACAGTATTTCCAAATCCTTCAAACTGCCTTTACATGCTGTGCCCAAGTGTGATGTCCCCCCACTCACATTTTATTTGTTGGGAAATGACCCAACGAAGGCAGGAATGATGAATTTGACTCCATGTTCTCAGAAGGCTAATTTTTTATTTTATGATACTATATTATATTTAAAATATACTATAATAACTATACTAAAGGATACTTACTAAATGCTAAAAAGATAATAATGAAAACTCATGACTCTCTCCAGAGTCCTGACACAGCTTGGTCCTGATTGGCCAAAGAGTCAAAACAACTCACAGCAGAAACCAATGAAACAACCACCTGTGGGTAAACAATCTCCAAACACATTCCACATGAGCACAACACAGGAGAAGCAAATGAGATAAGAATTGTTTTCCTTTTCTCTGAGGTTTCTCAGCTTCCCAGGAGAAAATCCCGGGCAAAGGGATTTTTTCAGAGGATGTGAATGCCACGCACTCAGGCTGCGCCAGGTTTCCAAAGTGGCAGCAGGACAGACAGGTCTGGATCTGTTCCAGTGGTTGATAAAAACTCATTTTCTGTACCCCTCGATGCCCAGACGTGGCAAAGAGTGACCTGCAGCCATCCTGATGCTGCTGTTGGTGCTTTCCCTGAGCAGCATCTTTCATGGTATGTCACAAATTGTTACAGCTATCAGGGAGTGTGCCTTGCTGCTTGCCAAGAATTTTAACAGGCTGTTTCTGTAAATGGTGTGTTGGTGAAGAGATGCAAATTATTGACCAGTCTATTTTTTTCTCTCTTTTTTTTTTTTCTCTCCTAACAGTACCCTCAACAACAACAACATCACCCGCATTCCTGTTACCAGCTTCAACCACATGCCAAAGATCAGGACTCTGTGAGTAGATTTTATATTATGATACAATCCTGATGCTGTAAACCAACTTTTTGGCTATTTTTCATCTGTGATAATCTCATTTATCAGTCCCTCAGGGGCTGGGTGGCTGCAGGGCTGGGGAGCCCAGGTAGGGCTGTGAAAGGGCTGGTGCCCACAGAGCCCTGAGAGCCTCTGTGCTGGATCTGCCCAGCATTAAGTAACAGTCAGTTTTATCAAGATTTTGAATTTGCCCAGAAAATAAACTGGCTTTTTTTTTTTCCCATGGGAAAATCCATAATGTGAAATGTGTTCCAAACTGGAGCATCAGCAAGATCGTAAAATCTGCTCAGATGGATCAAATTATTGAATTTTGTTAATATCCTGTGTTTAAATCCCATTTATTCTTTTCAAATTCAGAATGTTAATTTCTGAAACAAGGCATTTTTAAAGAAGATGAAAAAAGCATCCTTCTAGATACTTTCTGAAACAAAATGCCACTTATTCTGATGGATTTTTTTTTAATAAAAGCTTCTCTTATTTCAAATCCATTTGTTTTTGAGCTGCATGCCATTGCACTGGAAAAGCTCTGTTCTTTAGTAGATCAAAATACAAAGACTGTGAAATTAGACTAAGCATTTGTATAATTTAGCCATAGCCTACCAAAACCATTTCCTTAAGTAAATTATTTCTTTAAATTCCTTTAGGGAATACACAGCTTCAGGAAAAGTCACGTCTAAACAAAGCACCCCTGTTTTTCCTCCAGATTCTCAAACTCATCCAAAATGTATTTAATTCTAGAGGCAAAGAAAGGGAAATAGTAGCTAGCCTGAAAATTTTCTGTGCCACTGAAAAAATACAATACTTCAGGGATGCTATGCATGCATGTGTAAAACCATATTAAATAAATTAACAGAACTGAAGGAAAATGGCTCTTACTTATGTCAATCTCTGTAAGATAACCTCTGACTTAAATTTGCATTCTTCATCAAATGATGACATTATTAGATCTTAATGTAAGTAATTAAATGGAAATGAGATATTTGTCTTTTAGAAGAGAATGGCTAAAGAAGATAAAGGTGTAGAGTTAAGGTTCCTGGAATTTTGCCTTTTCTTATTCAGAAAATTTGCCTGGCTTTTCCAGATTAGCCACTCTTGTCTGTTAGCATAGCTCTGTGCCTTCAGTGTCTTCTGCCATTTTCCCTTTAGTTTAATTTCAGAGATGGCTTTGTATATAGCTCCCTGGAGACTTACACTGACTAATCCCCCTCTGCTGTAATTAAGGGGGGAAAAAGGAAAGGAAAAAAAGGGAAGAAGTCATAAATAGGATTTATAAAGGGAAGCTTTTCTATTGAATTCTGAGAGACACATTTTATTAAACATGAATGCTGCCCCACTCTAAAAGGATTTGCTGGAAATTTAATTTCGGGACTATGGATAAAAGGGCAACTTAGGCAAACTTGCATTTGTATTCATTCACCTGATGTTCTGTAAAGTCAGTTTCATCAATATCAAATGACAGGTTCCAGTCTCCACAGACTGACAAATAACACACAGCACCCCTAGCAGGGCAATGTAGGAATTTGTGTAAAGATACTCTTTGGGGGAAGGTGGTAATATTTTCTCAAGTTTCTTGTTGGAATGTATAATCAATGATGCTCCTCACAGTTTGGTGAGTTCGCTGTTTGCTTAAAAAATGGTCATCAGTGTGTCCACTTTCTCAAACAGCCTGACACTTAGATGTGCTTTTTTTTGGGAAGTTTTTGTAGGAAATGCCTGCTCTGAATGTTCCTTAAGTGGGGATGAGCCCTTTTCCCAGTCAGCTGAGGCCCAGTGCAGTGTGGACTGTGTTTTCCTTTGTGCCTCTTTTACACTCTGGTGAGATCCATTAGCAGGACATTTGGGGATGCTGCTACAGCTAGTGTGCTCTGGTGGTTCTGTGAATAAACAGCTTTTCTTCTTCATGGCTCTCAAAACAATCTGCCTATGGTAGGACAGAGAGAAAATATAAAAAGTAGATTAACCTTCAACATGAGCACTCAGGGGAAAGAAGAAAAAGGATAAAATGCTGGGAAGTTTTGTAGCATTTGAAGAATTCTTTGCTAAAATCAGCTCTTCTGTGCTAAGATTTTTTAGTTAACTGTCTGTTCTGTTCTTAAGTTTCATTGATTTTTAGCCTTGATTGGAAGTGACAGGAATTAGTTTTTATTGATCTGCTTTCCTTTGCTTGAAACAGCTTTATTTATGATAAAGCATGTCCCCTCTACCTATTTGCTTAATGATAAGTGTCCTGTTGTCTCTGCATCTGTGAATTACTGCTGAGACAGGTAATTACATTATTTATTTTCATTTTTTTATTTAAGGGTAAACTAAAAATGTGTGAAAGCACTTCAGCGTTTTATGTGTTCCCAGGGAATTGGTTTATAATATTTTTGAAGTACTGTGAAAAGTCTTCTTGAGGCTGTATTTATTAGTATAATTATCAAAAATATATTCTGCTAGGCTGCTTTGTTGAGATGGGATCTCTCAATGATCTCCTCTCCAAGTGGAGTAGCTGTGCCAAAAGACAAGGAGGGCTCTGCTGAGGCAGAGAGCTGGTGGTTTGCAGTGCTGAAACAGGAACCCCCAAAACCCAGATAAATCAATTTATTGAGGGGGAAAACCAGCTCACAGAACTGGAGAACTGCCTAACCTAACCCTTTGTGTGAAATAGTGCTTTTCTCACTGATGCCTGCACGCAGGGGGTGCAGGGAATGGCATGGGATGAGGTCAGTTCCAGAAGGAAGCAGATCCTGAGTATCATTGTTGATTGCTGTGTTGGGAAGGATGAGACTCTGAAGGCTTAAATAAAACAATGACTCTCTCAGGTTACAACAAATTCTGACTTAGGATGATTTCTGGCTAGACCACATTTATGTATTTTTTTGTTCTGCAACAAAAAGGCAAATTAATGGTTCATAACAGCTGAACATTTTACTAGAAATCTAACTTGCTGCAGCTCCAATTAAAAAGCTTCACAATCTCTAAACTCAAGGTCTTCTAGCCATCCTTGTAGAACAATTACATTTTACAGTACTCCCAGGAGATTAGTGCTTTCCATCTCTACAGGATAAACCCCCAGCTCCAGATTTGTGGTTTTTTTTTTTTCCTTTTCCTTTATTGTGGCTGTCCACCCCAGACATACAAATCTGGGACTGTCAGCCCGGGCGCCACTGCAGGGCTGAGCTGCTGTTGTGCTGCAGGGACAGCTCACAGACAGACTGTTCATTGCTTTGGAGCATGGACAAGGCTAAATCTGCTGCACACCAATTGTGTGCCTGTAATATTAGTGAATAATGCTTTGTCTAACCGTTTCTGACAGGATTTTTAATCTGGTTCATGATTTCATTTGGTGCAACACTCCAAATGCATGAGTCATTACAGGAATGAAATAATTCATGTCCTGGACTTTTGTTTTTGACCTAAAGTTTGGTGGCTATTTCAATGACCAGATTTGGTCCCTGAACCCATCATCATTTTGCACATGGGATAATGGTTCTGCAAATCCTGACAGGGAGCTGCCCATAACTGGATCTTTCATGAGCTGAAAATTCCTTGTAGATCCTTTACACTTGTGTTAAATTACTACAGGAAAAAGAGCATTGATGAACTTGTTCAGGCAACACAGGAACAGAAATGGTACCAATAGCCTCTGAAGTTTGATTTTGCCTATCTTTTCCCAGAATATTCAGAGTTGGAAGGGATCCATAAGAGTCATCAAGTCCAAGTCTTCAGTGAATGGCCCATACAGGGATCAGATCCAAATAACACCATAACCTTGTTGTTATTAGCACTATGCTCCAGTCAGTGCAGCTAATGTGGGCAGGTTCTCTCTCTCCACCTTTTCCCAATGGATGAAGAGGGGAGACTCACTCATCATCCTGTTCTTGAGCCTGCTCCTCATGTTTAGACAGGCCATTCTTTGAATTCACTCAGAGATATCACATTGATGCAACTCTTTCTGATGTGAAATCACAGACAAAGCGATTACATGGAGAAATCCTAAATTCTGCGCATTTTTGTCTTTAGAATAGCCAGCTGTAGATGGATCACCGTTGAACTGAATTTTTTGAAAACATTGCAAATAACAACACAAACTAATATCTGACCTCTGTATAATATTGAGGACAGCCAAGCCCTGACTCATGTGTAAGCAAGAATTGGGAGTGATCCCGCTGAAGTAGCAGCAGAGAGCAGGGCAGGCTGGCGGTGATGGCTCCCTTGGTGTGTTTTGTTGAGAAAACCCCACTAACTGCGTGTTTGGTGTGTGCTTTGTCCAGAAGCCCCCAGTAACTGTGTGTTTGGTGTGTTTTGCAGGCGGCTGCACTCCAACTTCCTGCACTGTGACTGCCACCTGGCCTGGCTGTCGGACTGGCTGCGCCAGCGCCGCACCATCGGCCAGTTCACCTTCTGCCTGGCGCCCGTCGGCCTGCGCGGCTTCCTCGTGGCAGAGGTGCAGAAGAAGGACTTTGTCTGCTCTGGTAATGCTGCCAATCCTCATTTATCTCATGTCTATCTCATGTCTCCTTATTTATCTCTGGTTTTATGTTCCCATAAAAAAAAAAGCAAAGTGGAAAATGGCTGTGTCGCGTTCGAACGCAAACACAGCGATCCTGTTTGGTTTTGTTGTTGCTAAACTGTATGGGAGGAGATCAAATTGTTGGGTTTTTGCAGCTTTGTGAGAATTATTGGATTCCAGTTAACATTTTGGTTCTCAAATTACTTCTTCTGCTTTAACATTGCCAATGATATCAACATAAGAAATCAATTATGTGTGGATAATTTGGTATTTCTCAAGGGAATTGCTCTACAGCTGACTGGAATACAAAGGAAAGGAAATAGAAAATGCAAATCTGAGTCTGTTGACAAATGATTGGACTTCAGAACGTGAGGAGCAGATTTTATCCCAGGGACTGAAACAGGGATTCTTAGGGAGCCAATGCACTTTGCTGTTGTACAAGTTTCCACTTTGATAAATGGGGCTGATGATACTCACAAATCATGTGTCTGTATGTTGGGTCTATTCATCAAGTCTCTGGAACTGCACTTGGTTCTTGTAGAATTGAAATACATTTTCCTAAAAGGAGGAGAAAAAGAACAAAAGAAACAAATGACAAAAAGTGAAAAAAAGAAACGTCTGAGTTGGGTTGAAAGGAAGGATGTGGTGGAGGAGGAGCAGCATGGTAGTGTGTATGCTGTGGAAAAAAAAAGATACCACACATAAGTTTGGAGGTGGTTTTGCAACCCCAGTGGTGACACAGAGGGCTTGTTATGGAGATGATGTGAATCTGAACATTGACTGTGAGTCTTGTGCTGTTTTATTCTTTATCTCTCACAACCTGAGAGCCCCAAAGCTTTATCCTATGGGTACACGGATTGGCTGATGGAAATACAGTAGAGCTGCTCCTGCCAAAAGTGTTTTAGGAATGCCTTTTTTCTGTTGTTCCATTTACATGTGACTAAGAGAAATGGTTGCATTTAGAGAAAGAAGAAAGGTTTGACCCCACTCAACCATGATTAATTAATGCCCAGCCCAAAGGTGTTCTGAAATGTTATGGGCATGTGGAAAATGAAGTTGTGCATAGTGCTCATTGAGACATGATAGTTCAGGTATTTCAGAGTGCTCAGCAAATTCTACGCTGTAGAGTGTATTTAACCTGGATACCAGTGGAAATGGTGGGTAGAATATCTGATAAGTTATATCAAAAGTTTAACTAAAGGAAAAGTTTAGAAATGTAACAGTCTTGGGAGAGGAAGGATAAAACAAATGGATAAATGAATGAAGCTATTAGCAGAAGCTAATTTTATCAAAGAGGCAACCACAGCTTTTTTTTTTTTTTCTTTCCTCTTGTGAAATGAAGTTTCAGATGGAGCATGAGTTCAGCTATTTGGATTTATGATACAGTGAAGTGGAGGAAAATGAGTTGTTTAAGTCAGGAGAAGAGATAATAATTGCTGAATGAGAAATGTAATGTGAACAGAACTCATTTAAATGGGGTTGTCTGTGCAGACTGAGACTTCCAAAAGTGACAAGGTTTTTAACAGTTCCCTGTTGGACCAAGAGGATATAGGCATTCTCTCATGATCTGCCTGCTTTTGTAAAAAATACAAAATCATGAAAATTCAAGGAAAGAAATTTTCAGTGAGACAGTCCATCAACTGTATCCTTGTAACTCTCATTTGGGAAATGAAATGAAATGTACTGAAAAAGAAATTCATTTGGAGACCTCATTTTAGTGGTGGATTTAGCTGAGAACTCAGCTTAGTGCATGCTAGTTCGATAAAAACCTACATGGACAGCTAGTTTAAAGAGGATATAAATCTTCCCTTCTCCCCATTACAGCTCTTATATCTGATTTTACAGCATAATTTGTTAATGTGTGAATATGAAGTCAAACCGGGACAGGCGGTGAGGAGCGAACTCTGTGCAATGGAATTTTGTAGAAATTAAGATTTTGTGAATTACTGTAACCAGGAGCTGGCAGGGAGAGCCACCTTGGCATCCCTTCCAGTTAGGAAGAGCTGAAATTCAAAGTGATGAACTGCTCTGTTGAAGTACAGGTTCAGGACATCAAGCCCTTTTTACTTTTATGGCAGTGGGAATATCACAGCAGCCAAAACCCTTCAGCTTTTCCTTCACTGTGAAATGGGCTCCATCAGAGCACACCAGTCCAAAACTGGTGCTGCTGGATGGTTCAGAGGGAAAGAATAGACTCATAATTTGGGAAAAGAAGAAACACAACACTGAAAATCTGATTCCTCTTTACTCTTTGAACCCTATGCAAAAATAGCGATGCTTTATGGTTTTATGAGAAATGTTTCTTTGGAAATAGATTTTGAATGCTGCATGCCAAGTGGGAAAAGAACTGAAACAATGATAGAAAAGTGCCGTAAATAGAACCCAAGTTGCTGGATTGCCTGTGGATGGGTCCTGCACCATGGTGTTTGCATTAGGAGGAAAATCTCTCCAGATAATGTTGTTGAAATCAGAGTTATGTGCAGATATATTGAGGTAAACTGAGTCACACCTGGGTGTCAGTCTTTCAAAAATGTTGTTCAGCTTGAGTTTTACAAATTATAAATTATTTTATAAATATATATTATAATTATATAACATATTATTGGTATTATTTAAAAAATTATTAGAAATCTGATTCAAATGGTGCATGTAGGTCACCTGAGAGCAGTGGAGACGCTATTCCAGATTTCTCTTGTTTGAGCATTTGGCTCGGAGCTGGAGGTGAAGGTGCAGAATTCAGCAGTTGCCTGGAGATAGGTTTGGAAATATGTCTGGTAGGGTTTGTGTTACTGAGGAGAAGGGGAAAGTCAGGGACAGAGTGGGGCTGGGACTAGATGGCCCCTCACCATCAGGGAGAGTGCCAGGGGCTGCTGGCACTGCTGTCACCCACCAGGCTGGCTCCTTCTGCAAGCTGTCCCCTCCCTGCAGGGGAATGTCCCCTCCAGAGCCACCTCGGCCAGAGCAGCCTTGCTGGGCCTCTGCCTTCAGGGCCATCTGCTTCAAACAAATTCCAATCTCTTCCTCCTGCACAGTTGGTTCTGCAGCTCTGGGATGCCTTTGGTGACAGCTCCTGCAAGGTGGGATGTGAGGAAGGGGAAATTCTGTGGCACCAGAGCATGAGCCCCTTGGTGATGTGCTGCACAGAGGGAGCAGGGTGTATTTCACATGGATAAAGGCTGTATTTCACCTGGATACAGGATGTATTTCCCATGGATAAGGGCTGTATTTCACATGGTAAGGGCTGTATTTCACATGGATCATGAGAAATTCCATGTGTATCCATGTGTATACACCAGAGTGTATTTCACCTGGATAAGGGGTGTATTTCACATGGATAGCAGGGTGTATTTCACATGGATCATGGGGTGTATTTCACATGGATACCAGAGCATATTTCACATGGATAAAGGCTGTATTTCACATGGAGAAGGGGTGTATTTCACATGGATACCAGAGTGTATTTCACGTGGATAAAGGCTGTATGTCACCTGGATAAGGGCTGTATTTCACCTGGATAGGGGTGTATTTCACATGGATACCAGAG